CTTTCACATCAATGTTTCTTTCTCTGTCTCCCCCGCTCCCTTTCACTCTTTCTAAAAATCAATGGGAGAAAAAACCATCCTCTGGTGAGAATTAACAAAAAAAAATTGCTTTCTACAAAGAGAAAGGGCAGATATTGTGGGGAAGCATGGGACTTGGTTGAAATGTCTGTAAGTAGGATTCTCTGAAAGGTTGGGGGCCTCTGGGAGGACCTTGCCGAAGGTAGCAGTCCCTACCTTCACTTTTCCAAACAAGTCCAATTCCTTGGGTTTGCTAGAATCTCTATGTTTAGTCTTTTAGATCCGACCTTGTAGAAGCATGTGCTTTCTCAAGGATGCTTACCTTGCTGATTATATCTAGAAATTAATTTTAGTTCAAGCTGTTACGACAATAAAAAACTAAGGAGGCAGGCGAACAGGGCTACTTGGCAGCAATAGCCAAGTAGTGCCTTAGCCCTCTCTTTCACAGAAACGTATGTTAAAGCAATCTGTTCATCCATTGCTCAGGGTCTGCCAGTCAGCCCTGGCAAGATATCTTTATATTTTGCATTTGAGCCTCATTCCTCACCTTTTTATATCCCCACTAGAGGCCTGTTGCACGAATTTGTGCACCAGGGGGTTCCCTCAGCCTGGCCTGCTGGATTGGGCTGAAACCGACTATCCAACATCCCCCAAGGAGTCCCGGATTGCAAGAGGGTGCAGGCCAGGCCGAGGGACCGACTGGTGCACGATCAAGGCCAGGGAGGGATACGGGAGGTTGGCCAGCCAGGGAGGGACCATTAGAGGGCTCCAGGGCATGTCTGGCCCATCTTGCTCAGTCCCTATCAGCTGGACTTCAACAGCAAGCTAACCTACCAGTTGGAGCATCTGCCCCCTGGTGGTCAGTGTACATCATAGCAACTGGCTGACTGGTCAACTGCCCCCTGGTGGTCAATGCACAAGCAGTTGAGCGGCCTTTGCATATCATTAGCATATTATGCTTTGATTGGTTGAATGGACCACTGGACAACCAGACACTTAGCATATTAGGCTTTTATTATATAGAATAATTATTTATCTTTCTTTTTTACCATCTATTTTGTATTCAAATTATATTTTATGCTTTGTTATAAGTTATCCAATTATATATGGAACCAAAAGACCCCAAATAGTTGCAGAAATATTGAGAAAGGACAAAGTGGGAGGGATCACCTATCAGATATCAGACTATACTACAAAGCCATTATAATCAAAACAGCCTGGTACTTGCACAAGAATCTTTGTGACAGCATGGATTGACCTGGAGAATATTATGCTGAGTGAAATAAGCCAGTCAAAGAAAGACAAATATCACATGATCTCACTTATATTTGTAATCTAATGAACATGATAAACTGATGAACAAAATATGTCCAGAGGCATGGATGCATGGAACAGACTGACATATCTCAGAGGGGAGGGGAGTGAAGAGACAGGAAGTGATTAACCAAAGAAATTATAGCTAAAGTACATAGACAATAGTGTGGTGAAGGCCTGGGGTGGGGCAGGGGCAGAGGCTGGGAAGAGAAGGGTAAAGTGGGGGGTAAATTGGGGGACATCTGTAATACTGTCAATAATATATAAATAGTACCATTCTGCTCCTTGGTTTTACTTTTATCACCTTACAATATATCTTGGTTATCCTTCCATACACACTGAGCTACTAAATTCTTTTAACAAATACATAATATTCAATACTATGAATTTAAAGTAATTTATATAATCATCCCCTTATTGATGAACATTTTGAGCTGTCCAGTTTATCCTTATGGCAAACAATGTTACAATAAAAAACTATGTAGATATTTATCTTCACGCTTGATTTATTGTATCATTAGGTGTCCCAGAAATTGGTTAATGAGACTTTTAAGCAGAACTTATTCCCACACACATTCTGCACTTTGAGGAAGCAGTGTGTGTGTGTGGTTTCTAATATTTAACTGTGTATTTTCCAGGTTTCTAGAGCTAGCAAGATATAGCTTTACTGTATTCTAAGAATGAGAGACAAGTAGGAATTAAAAAATTAAAAACCATCCTGGGATTCCTGGGGTTCCTGGGCTAGGAATTCAAACATCACAAAGACAGGGACAAAGGTAGCTGGGACATCATCATCATCACCACCTGAAAACAATATATCATCATCAGCCCCATGAGGCAAAAAATTGGATGGGAGATATGTAGTTATCTAGGGAACTCATGAAGACCAGACCTAGAATAATGATTCTCAAACATGAATTCATATCAGAATCACCTGCATGGTTAAAACACAGATTACCAAGCCCTCGTCCAAGAGTTTCTGATTCATCAGGTCTTTGGTGGGACCTGAAAATTTGAGTTTCTAACACGTTTTTGGGTAATGCTGCTGCTGCGCAAGGACCATACTGAGAAGTACTATCTAGAGAAAAGAGACTAGAAAGATAAATCTCACATTTCAGGCTACTGGCTAAAATGTTGTTCCAATGTTTTCTTTAGCCAACACGGACAAATTTATGTAGACAAAGATCCAGTGATAACTATTTCTTTGGATCACTTTTTTCCATGTGTTTATGAAACCTTGCCAATTTCCCATTCATCTTTCCTCCATTAATGTTCCATATCTCTCAATCTCCATTAAAAGACTGAACCTAGAAATTTAAAATTTAATAAAAAAACATCTTCAGAAACAGAATTCATCAAGTGACCACATCTGAAATAAGTACAGATCTTTGTTACATATGCTTGCATAGAGCCTATCTAGACAAATACACAGAATTAATATGTGTACTATAAAGTTGAATTAATTACCTTTTTATAGGTATAATGTGTATTAATGCTGTTAATTTGCAAGGCTACATTCCAAACAAAAAACATGCTGAATTGAAAAAAGAGAATTACAAGTATGAGTGCTTGTGTATGCACACACACAGTATTCCTCTGGGCTATTTATCTTTTGAAACATCAAATTTGTACAAGCCTTTCAGGAACACACCACCTCCATATGTCACAAAATTTCCTATATCAGCGGTTCTCAACCTGTGGGTCGCGACCCCTTTGGTGGTCAAACGACCCTTTCACAGGGGTCGCCTAAGACCATCGGAAAACACATGTATAATTACATATTGTTTTTGTGATTAATCACTATGCTTTAATTATGTTCAATTTGTAACAATGAAAATACATCCTGCATATCAGATATTTACATTACGATTCATAACAGTAGCAAAATTACAGTTATGAAGTAGCAACAAAAATAATTTTATGGTTGGGGGTCACCACAACATGAGGAACTGTATTAAAGGGTCACAGCATTAGGAGGAAGGTTGACCACTGTATATATGATTACATGCCTCATTTTGCTATTTATCTTATTGCATATGACTACTATCTTAGTAAAACTAAACTTCTGTATAAAAAGAGTAGCCAAAATAATATCAGATTGTGCAGTTCAAAAGCACATGTTTCTAAAAAACATAAACACCCACTATGTACTATTCAGCAGGCGCTAGGAGACAATGGTCCCTGCCCTTACGTATTTCACAGTCTAGTGTGGGAAACAGATGTGAATAATTAACTACAAAGCTATGTGAAAAGGGCTATTATAGAAGTATGAAGAAAATGTGAAATCACAAATGAACTGCTGCCTTTTTTTCTTGAAGAATCAGAAGTCTTGATAAAACTGCAATAATTGGGTCTTGAAAGAGTTGCCTAAGTAAAATATAAGAAATACCATTTCAGGCAAAGGCACTTGTGCACAGGAAGATTTTGGAGGAATGAAAGAGCTTAAATTTGTTCAGGGAAGAGTGAGAAATTTGGTGTGCCTGGGTTCTAGGTGGCAGGAATAGAAGCAGTGCGAGATGGAGTAAGAAATGTGGGTAGGAGCTAGACTCTGAAGAACTTTGAAACCTATGCTAAGAGATTAGAATATTTTATTTTATCTATATCTTTATTGTTGAGCTATCTCTCCTTCACTACCCCCCCCCCCATTGCCCTTCTCTATCCAGATCCCATTCTGCTCCAGGCTTTCACCACCCTATTGTCTGTGTCCATGCCAATGCATATATGCCTATAAGTTCTTTGGTTAATCTCTTCTGGTCCCCCCCCCTCTCCTCTTTGAGATTCATTAGTCTGTTCCATGTTTTCATGCCTCTGGTTCTATTTTATTCATCAGTTTATTTTGTTCATTAGATCCCTTTTTTGTTTAGTTTGATTTTTAGGTTCAATTATTGATGTGTATTTGTTGCCATTTTATTTTTCATATTTTTTACCTTTTTTTCTTGTTCTTCTTTAAAAAGACCTTTTAACATTTTTTTGTAATTCTGGTTATGTGGTAATGAACTTCTATAGATTTTTCTTGTCTGTTACGCCCTTTATCTGACCTTCAATTTTAAATGATAGCTTTGCTGGCTAGAGTAATCTCAGTTGTAGGTCCTTCCTTTTTCATCACTTTGAATAATTCTTGCCACTCCCTTCTCAATAGTTTCTGTTGAGAAATCATCTGACAGTCATATGGGTGCACCTTTGAAGATAACTAACTGCTTTTCTCTTGCTGCTTTCAAGATACTCTTTTTGTATTTAGCTCTTGGTATTTTTATGATGTGTCTTGGTGTGGGCCTCTTTGGGTTCATCTTATTTGGGAATTTTTGTGCTAGACTTGTAAGTCTATTTCTTTCACCATGTAAGGGAAATTTTCTGCCATTATTTCTCCAAATGGTTTTCAATTTTTTGCTACCTCTCTCCTCCTTCTGGCACCCCCATGAAGTGAATGTTGGTACATTTGAAGTTGTCCCAGAGGCTCCTTACACTATTTTCATATTTTTGGATTTTCTTTTTGCTCTGCTGATTGGGTGTTTTTTGCTTCCTCATATTACAAATCACTGATTTGATTCTCAGCATCCTCTCTTCTACTCTTGGTTCCCTATAAATTATTCTTCTTTTCAGTTAGTGTATCCTTCATTTCTGACAGGTCCTTTATTATGTTGTTGATGTTCTTACTAAGTTTTTTGAAGTTCTCACAAAGTTCCTTGATATTCTCACTAAGACCCTTGAAGCTCTCACTAATTTCTTTGAGCATCCTTATAACCATTGTTTTGAATTCTGATTCTAGTAGTTTGTTTGCTTCCATTTGGTTTAGTTCTTTTTCTGGAGATTTCTTCTGTTCTTTCATTTGTGACATGTTTCTTTGTCTCAAATTTTTGGCTCTTCCCTGTGTTTGTCTCTATGCATTAGGTAGAGCTGCTATGTTTCTTGGAATTGGTAGAGTGGTCTTGTGTAGTAGCGTCCTGTAGGGCCCAGTGACTCAGCCTTCCCAGTCACCTGAGCTGGCACTGTAGGTGCGCCCCTGTGTGGGCTGCATGCACTGTCCTGTTGTAGTTGAGTCTTGATTGCTGTTGGTGTCACTGGGAGGAATTGACCTCTAAGCCAAATGGCTGTGAGGACCAACTGTGACTATAGCAGTGGAGTTACTGTGCAGGAGCCATCCCTATGAAGCAAGACTTGCTTCAGTGGGGTTTTGGTGCACACTGAATCCGCCCCTTGCGTCTGTTGCCCTGGATGTGGAAGAGTTGGAATCTGGCATGGTCTGAAGCTGTCCACTGGGTGCACTGGTTTTTTGCCCCCCCCCCACCCCCCCGCGGGAGGTTCAAAGTCAACTACTGCCTTTGCCTTGTCTGGGGATAGCCAGCAGGAGCTACAAAGCTCTCTGCAGATTGCTGCTACTTGTGTTGATCTGTGAACCTTGGCAAGCTGCTGTTAGTGCTGGGCCTAAGGTCACTTATCAAGAGGTATGGGGCACACTGAGTTCAGCTGCTACTTCTTTTAGAGATTATAGGAAAGTCTAAAGCCTGAGCCAGAACAGACCATTCATATGGAAAAGACACTGCAAGCAGCTTGGGTAGGGCTGCAAGTTGGGTGGGGCTGGTTCTAAGGGAATCACTAGGGAGGAGCGAATGGTGAGGGCCAGGTTGATGGAACCTCAGATATGGCACCTGCAAGTCAGCTCTGTGTGTGTGGGGAGGGGGCAGGGAGGTCCCAGAACTTTTTTTCTGGCAATACGCTGCCCCCAGGTTCCTGCCCTGATTCCAGACAATTTAGTTCCTCCCCATATGTCCCTAGATCCTTTCAAGCTGCTGCCCCAGTGCTGGAGCTCAGAGGGAGTGAGTAAAGGTAAGTCCATGGTCTGGCCTTTTAAGAGGAACTGCCTGGGACTCTAGCAGCCTTCTTGTCACTCAGCCTCAATACCCGCTGGTTTTTACAGCCCAAAGTTACAGGGACATCTCTTTCCAGCACTGGAACCCTAGGTTGAAGGGTCTGGTGTGGGTCTGGGACCACTTGCTCCTCATTGGAGACCTCTATAGCCAAGATATCCTTCCCAATTAAAAACAAATACCAAATATGAGTGTTGGATCAGCCTTTTCCACTAAATTGGTCCCTTTAGTATTATGCAGTGGCCTTCCTTATCTCTTGTTATGGCCTTCACTTTGAGGTCTACTTTGTCAGATATAAGTGTTGCTACCCAGCTTTTTTTTTTTTCCATTTGCCTGAATGTTTTTTATTTTTCCCATTCCTACACTATCAGTCTGTGTGAGTCCTTTGTTCTGAGATGGGTCTCTTGTAGACAAGAGATATATTGCCATGTTTTCTTATCCATTCAGCTACCCTATGTCTTGTGATTGGAGCATTTATTCCATTTAAATTTAAGGTTATTATTGATAGGTACTTGTTTGTCACCATTTTTATTCTTTATTCCTGTGTTCCTTCTTCTCTTCCTATTTATTGTTTTTACAGCAGTCCCCTTATCATTTCTTGCATTGTTGGTTTGGTGGTAATAAACTCCCTTAGCTCTTTTTTATCTGTGAACCTCCTGATTTCACTTTCAATTTTCAATGTTAGCCTTGCTGTGTATAGTATTCTTGGATTCAGTCCCTTGCTTTGCATCACTTTGTATATTTCATTCCATTTTCTTCTGGCCTGATGTGTTTCTGTTGAGAAATCAGTTGATAGTCTTATGGGAGATCCTTTGTAGGTAACTGTATGTCTCCTCTGGCAGCTTTTAAGATTCTTACTTTGTTGTTGGTGTTTGCCAGTTTAATTATGATGTGTTGGTGTCGGTCTTTTGGGATTCCTCTTGTTTGGGACTCTGTGAACTTCATGGACTTGTGTGAGTTTTTTCTTCCAAATATCAGGTAAGTTTTCTGTCATTATTTCTTTAAACAGGTTTTCTATTCCTTTCTCAGTTTCCTCTCCTTCTGGCACCCCTATTATGCAGATGTTTCATTTCATGTTGACCCAAAACTCCCTTAGGCCCTCCTCCTGTTTTTTTAGTGTTTTTTTTCCAGTTGCTGCTCTGCTTGGGTGTTTTTTCCTACCTTGTCTTCTAGCTCACTGATGCAGTCCTCATCTTCTCCTAGTCTAGTGTTGATGCTTTCTATTGTGTTGTTTATTGAAGCTATGTCATTCTTCATTACTTCTTGGTTCTTCTTCATTTCCTCTTGATTCTTATGCATGTTGAATTTGTCTTCCCTCCTTTTCAGCATCCTTATAACCATTTATCTTAATTCTTTCTCTGACAAATTGCTTATCTCCATTTTGTTTACTTCCTTTTCTGGTGATTCCTCCTTTTCTTTCATATAGGGGATGTTTCTTTGTCTCCCCATTTTTGCTCCTCTCAGGGTGTCTGGTTATGTGGCTTACTCTCTACCACATTGACCAACAGGCATTAAATACAACTTGATCAGATACAACACAGAGGGAACAAAACATGACTGTATTCACAACACCGATAAACCCAAATAAAGGTGACCATCAAAGAAAGGAGAATTATAGAAGAGAAAAGAGTGCAAAAATTATATTGAGAAAAGGAAAAAGGATAAGAGAGGGAAGAAAAAGAAGGGGGAAATATATGTATATGGGGGAAAACTCCACAAAACCAACAACTAATGGAAAAAATTCGAACAAGATACACCCAGAAAAAAGGAGGGGAGCTTAATCTGAAGAGGCAGAGCTTATATCCAGAAGGGTAGGTAAAGGAGTTGAATGAGTGGAGGAATGGCCACAATTCAGTATAGAGGAGGTAGAAAGAGAATGAGTGTGTAAGAAGAAAAGTAAAAAACAAAATACTCAATAAAAAATAAATAATAATTTATCTATACATTCATCTATTTTTGGAAAAGGGGAATAGAGTAGGGATCAGATAGGCCTGAGTTTATTGAGTGAAGCTAATTAAGCTATTAGTAGAAGAAGAGAACAAGCAAGGAGAGGGAAAACAAAAGCATTAAAAAACCTTAAAAAACAATCAAACAAACAACAACAACAAGAAAAAATTGGCTAGCGAAGAAAGAGAAAAAAGAAGGGTGCATGGACTTGGAGCAGGAGAGAGGAAATTAGATATATAAGTAAGCCAACAGAGACTACTATAATAGTAATGCATCAATAGAGCAGATAAAGAAGATTAATTTTTAATAAGGAATAAAAAGAAAGAAGATAGAAAAACTAAAGCAGGAACAGGAGAAGAGGAACAGGATGAAAAAAGGGGAAGTGAGGAAGAAAGGTTTGGCATAAAGAAAAAATGAGATAGAGTAAAATAGTGATAAAAATAATAATAAAATAAAAAATAGAATGTAGAATAC